TTATTTCCTGCAGCGATGGGAAATGTGTGGTATTGGGCTGCGTTTGTGACAGGTGCCTTTGGAAAAGTAGCAGCTTGGTCCCAAAGGCTTTGATATGTGAATACAGTTGGCTTACCACTGCATTTTGCCTTTGAAGGCTCGTGTTCAGCACGTTCAAATGTTGTGTTATGTCAACTAAAAATCCAAAATTAACCAGCCAAACAGGATCAGATAGCTCTGGCATTGGTTGTCCCTTTTTTGCCAAGTATTGTCCGATTTCCTCCCTAAGAGAGTAGAAGCGCTGCAGTGCAGACCCCCGACTGAGCCATCTTACCTCGTTGTGATACACAACATCTCCGTATTCAGCCTGGATGTCGAATAGAAACTGTTGAAACTGGTGGTGGCACAGGGCTTTGGAGCGAATATAATTAATAGCCTTCATCACCAGTTTCATAACATGATCATATTTCAGATGTTTGGCACAGAGAACTTGTTGGTGAATAATACAGTGGAGTTTTATAGCTTTGCCTCCTTCTTCGCTGACTTTGTTACAGACTAGGGTTGATAATCCACTTCACTCGCCAGCCGTGGCAGGTGTGCCATCCATAATAATCCCAGTGACTTTATTCCATGGTAGTTTCATGTCATCTATAGTGGAATAAACAGAAATCTGTTCCTCTTGTTTGGTCCTTAAGGCTCTGGAGGTCAAGTAGCTCTTCACTCACGTTCATGTCATTGTCCACTCTTCTCAAAAAAATCAATAACTGAGCGGTGTCAGATGCATCTGTGCTTTCGTCTCAGGCTAACGAAAAAAAGTCAAACTCCACTCCTTTTGCCTCTGTCTCTTAATATCAGATGAAATGTCTTCAATTCTCTGTACCATAGTGTTACAAGCCAGGCAAACATTGGCAAACATTTGCTGCTTCTCAGGACAAATTTTTTCCACCATTTTCATCACGCAGTCTTTAATAAATTCACCCTCAGTAAAGGTTTGCAGTGCTTGGCAGTCAGCATTGCCACCTCGTAGCTCGCCTTTGTGGCATTTTCATTTGACTCACGGGCTCCTGTGAAAAAGCGCTGCTGTGCCGTTAAAGCAGCTTCCAGTTCCTTCAATTTTTTGCCACGTTTGTTCCCAGTTAGCTTGTTGTAGTTAGCATGTTTCGTCTGGTAGTGCCTCTTGATGCTGAATTCCTTGAAAACAGCCATAGTCTCTTGGCAAATTAGGCAGACACAGTTGTTTCTTATTTCAGTGGAAAAAATACTCCACTTGTCCTGGAAGCGGCGGCCCTCGCTGTCAACTTTCCTTTTTTTAGTTACAGTCGCCATTTTAGAAATGAGCACACAAGCCTTGTGTCACAAGGGTCACAAGGCGAGAGTGCTGACTCAGGTCTACTGCCATCTTCTGGTGAAATATAACCACCAGCCTTGAAGGAGCAGGAGGCAGCAGAGGACAGCTGCAGGAACCGCTGTGCAGTGAAGGGAAAAACGTCAGCCGGCGGGGATGAGTGACAGGTTGAGCTGGCAGGGAGAAGAGGCTGCGAGCCGCTCGAAATTTGAAAACGGGCTGCAATTGGCCCCCAGGCCGGACTTTCAACATGCCTGGTTTAAGTATAAGTTAAAATCACCAAAGAAAGTCCCTATCCTCCTATTACATACGCTTGTCACCCTTTACATAATATTGTATACTGGCTGATGGAGATGTAGTTATTGTATTTTCTGTTCTTTTTTTAAGGCAGTTCTGAAAATATGTTGACTATTCAGTTGTGGCTGACAAGAATTATATTCACAAAGTTGAAAATGAATGTGCATTACCATCTCTTCACTTTTCACTTCACAATTTTGAGAAATCCTCCCTTACCACTGCTGCATACCCAATTCAGGTGATCCTAAGCTGCAAAAGAGGCTGCTTCTTCCAGAGGATAAGGAAGGGTTTAGAGAAGTCTTCCTTCAAATTCCATTCTACCAGAATATTTGATACCACACAATCATTCTAATGCCCTCAGAGTCATATTTGTAGTGTACTTAGTGATTGATTTTATTCTAGAATGGGAATATAAGAACTACCATATATTGATTGGGATCAGACAACATTACAATCCACACTCAAGAATTGAATAGGGTTGTCATCACAGGTTGTTGTTGAAAAGTAATTATGTTGTCTGCAGTCAACTAACCATGAGCAGTGCATGATGAGAACCCAGGAAGCCTTTGAGCTGATGAGAAATGTAATCTATTTAAATAAATAAACCCATTGTTGTTGGGTTGTGAACTGTACCTTGTTTGTGGTTAAAAAAATGTGACTTGTTATAACAGTTGGTGTCAGATAGCTTGATAGCCATGTTTCATGAACAGCCCATACGCAGCCTTCCAGTTTTGGTAATCATGTTGTCTAGACCCAGTCATTCAATGTGACAATTAGTCCATCTAGCTCAGTGTTCCCTATGCAGTTTCCAAGTTTT